TTTCTTACTCGACCATTTTCTGGCCCAGCAACGCCAACTCCCGGACTGCCGTTCCTGCGGGGAAAACGCGACCGTCGGCGGTTTATTAGATTGACCACATGGTCAATAAACAGGCGCGCTCTGCGGCTCGAAAATTTTATTTGGATAACGGCTCAAAAAATTTCTTAGTCACGTCATTTCGTATATGCTGGTGGTATGTCACGAGCGTTCCCTCCGCCATGTCAATCCACGATTTGTAAAATTGTGCGCACCGCCTATCGCGCAACGCCGGAAGCTTCGACATTTTGGGTGCGAGGCTGGAAAGTGGTTGGAATACAACTCGCGATGCGTGGTTTGGTTTGACAGATGTGGGGCGTAAACCTCGTGTAAGCAATCTGTTTCAAGCGTAGCCTCGAGACCCAGATTGAATAGTGTGGGAAATTCCCCAGGAGCGTACAAAATCGACGCACCCGTGACAAAATGCGCGCTGAAGATCCGGCAGAGCTCGTTCGGCTGCCATGGTGAGCCGTCTGTGTTCCTTCTCCTCACGGCAGCTATCCAAGCCTTTCTCTTCGCAGGATACAGCCTGGCCGACGGAAATCTAAAAACACTTGGCGTTCTCCGTACCGTAAAATTAATTCGCGCAACCAAGCGCAACACAGTGCGCCGGCATGGCGACAAAAAAAAAAAAAAAAAAAAAAAAAAGCGACTCCCGAGCTCTTTTCGTCCTCGCTTCTGCGCCTCTGTCGCAGCGTTGGTCGCAGCCTAGAAATAGCCGGCCATTTGTTTTCCAACCAAACAGGGGGCGCTAGCAACACGCTCTGCTCGCGCATGCGCAGCAGCTTTTTTGCAAATCGTGGATTTTACGTCGTAGACCATCCCACCGCAGCCTAAATTGCAAGAGCGGACTCATTGTGGGAGAATACTTGTACGGCAGGAGCACTGAGCTCACACTCGCGTGCTAGGTGTTCTGGCAGCTTTTCAAAACCAGTTGTCTGTTCGTAAGAATGATTAACAAGAGGAAGCAGGGAGCGTGTTGAATGACGTCCATTCATATGCGTGGTTTCTCTTGCCTTTCATTTTATCGGGTAGAACGTTGTTTTTGTCTTCCCCTTAAACTAAAAAATGGCATATCATTACCTCGCATGGCCATGCTGCAGGTCCCCTGGAAATGTCAGCGATGGATGTGGTCGTCGCGATCTGAGCAACAGGATGGGCATCGAAGCAAAAAGATCTTGGTTCTCCTTGTCTTCTTCTCCCGACACCAGCGATTTATACCCCTGTTATCATGGGCACCCTTAACCGTGGTTAACTCAGCCTGAACTGCTGTTACGCGGCACCACAGTTACCGCACTATACTCTCGGACAGCTATTTCAGAAGAAGTGAAGAGCGCGCGTGCGCTGCTTCGATGAGTGCTCAAGATATCTGCAGGCGCACGTTCGCCCGTAGTTTTGACTTCATGGCCGCAGAACGTTGCCCGTAAGTATAGTGCCCTAACTGTGGCTTACCGTAACTGCAGTTTCGTGTGCCCGTGTAAACTATAAGCCCCTACATATATATTTCTGTGTTCCTGTGCGGAGCAACGCAGGACCCAGGGATCTTGGGTTCAACCTGGGGTGCTATGTTGCGCATTTTGGACTCCCAGGGGGGCTATATTTCGCTTTTTGCACTCCCAGGAGACTAGGGAGAGGGAAGTGACGTCAACGACACAGCAAACGCAGATTGGGTGTTGATTTCGTTTTCTTCTGTCAACATCCAATCTGCATTTGCTGTGTCGTTGACGTCACTTCCCTCTCCCAAGTCTCCTGGGAGTGCAAAAACCGCAACATAGCACCCCAGGAGACTAGGGAGAGGGAAGTGACGTCAACGACACAGCAAGCGCAGATTGGGTGTTGATTTCGTTTTCTTCTGTCAACATCCAATCTGCGTTTGCTCTAGTCGTTGACGTCACTTCCCGCTTCCAAGTATACTGGGAGTCCAAAAAGCGCAACATAGCACCCCCACCACCTAAAATAACCAAGGCCTCGGAAAATTCTCTTCTTTCTCTATGCAACGCCATCACAGTCCTTCGACGCGGTCATCGTTCGATGTCACTCCGATGACGTCAAAATTCACCGGCGTGCCTTCGTGTATCTGGTGCACGTTAAAGAGTCATGAAACGATATCGGGTTGGAAATGTCGCTTCGTGTCTTCGAACGTGTGCGTGCTCGTGAATGACGGTGGTGTCGAGGAGTATCGCCGATGCCATCCAAGCCACACGGATTTCCTCGCCCCTGCCGACTACGCAAGAGGCCGCTTCGCCCCCATCACTGGCGGGACCCAGGTTCGCTTCTCTCATCCGTGTAGTATTTTTATTGTTCTTGCCTGTTTTTAGCGTGCGTCTAGTATTTTTCGTGTTGAGAGATAAGCAATATAGTTTTAATAAAATTGTTTGTTTTGCACCGAAAACTACTGTCTGTGCGTCGGGAATGTACTGTGTCAGCGCCGAGGATGTGTAGCATCCGAGTTCTTGTGAGCAGGCCTCAAGTACGAAAATAATAAATTGGATGCCGAGTTGACTTTTCTGAAGAGCTTGACTTGTTTATCCTGTGTATTAATTTTAACAGGTTAAACTGGTTGGGAAGTCCACCAGCATGAACGGGCCACGCCCCTGGCCCGTTCAATTGAGCAGGATGCGGTCGCGCTTCAGCAGGAAGGCAACGACATTGCCTTCCAATGGCTCCCAAGCTACTGCGGCATTAGAGGGAATGAAGTCGTTGATTTTCTGGCGGTGCGGGATCACAAGGACCCCGAGTACCCGCTCTCAACCGCTCCCCGCTTCTCAGACGCCAAGCTCCTTGTGAGAAGAGCCATCGCCCTACAGCACCCGGACCCGGTAGTGGTGGCGGGTGCCTTCCCAGGTCGGATATCGCGCGGCTTCGACCGCCAGACTGCCGCAGTAATGCACAGATTACGGACCTGAAGCGCCTTCACCCCGGCGTGGATAAGTCGCTTCAGGCTCGATGTTGGCCCCATATGCCAGACCTGCGAGGAACGGCCGACGGCGAACATCTCCTCCTGCACTGCACTGATCACGAAGCTAGAGGAGCGCACCAACCTCCGTGATACCTTTTTCCCGCTTAGGGCTACCTAGTACCAACTTGAAGGAACTCCTGCGTCCAAGAGCGTCACGAGCTATTACGGACAAGGCACTCAAGAGTGTAGTCAGCTTCCTGAGAAGCGCGGAACTACTCGAGATCCTCTAAGACTTCCAAGAGATTTGGGTTGCTTGCGGCTTCTGGGGGCTCCTGAAGACCTTACATCCAGAGGTTTTCAGGAGTTCCAGGAGTCGCGATTCTGTACCGAAAGCCGTGGGAAAGTCAACACTCTGAAAAGATCCCCTTCCCCCTCCCCCCTCTCTTCTCCTCTATCTCTTTTTTTCCCTTAATTTCCTTTCCCGTCGACAGTGACATGTGCGCCCAAAAGTACAACTAAGAACAACGTCGATTTTTTAATAAATAAACAATCAACAGCGTTGAAACGCTGGACACCCTAGCTTTGACGTCACCGCACGATCTCATCTCCTCCTCTCCCTCAGCTTCTCTCCGTATTCAGTCTCGTTCCGGTAGCCTCTAATGGGGAATTCGCGTGGTACTCTCAGCGCGCGAGCGCTCGTTCGAGAGCGCGCCAGACCGGGTGGTGGAGAAACAGCGAGGCGACGTGAGTTCATTCCGAGGGCTTCCCTCCCTCTGAGAGCACTCACTGGGCCAGGGAGTTCTCTCGGAAGCAGGGAAGCCCTCGGAATGAACCATACGATCACGCCGCCACGCTCTTTTTCCACCTTCCGATCTGGAGCGCTCTCGAAAGAGCGCTCTAGAGCGCGCTGAGTACACCACGCGATTTCATTCTACGATCCTGCTGCAGAAAGAACAAAGAAAAAAAAAAAGGAAGAGGAGGAGGCTTGTGGCACGAGATGTCTCGGTATTCGACGTATCGAAAAGAAAAGACGAGAAGAAAAGGAAGCGGGGAGGGCAATCGTTGGCCTTCTTCCGTCGTCGCCAATCAGGGGCAAAATTACCTAAGGTAAGGAAATGAACGGGTGAAATTGCATGTCGTTGGTATACGTTGATGTTGCCTATAGCCACGTATTCCACGTGCTTATATAGCCCCCACCTCCGGGCAGACGAGTGCGGGGATATTGGAATCAATGACCGTAATGGACATTTTTCTTTCAAAAGTTCTGCGCATGCGCACGCTGCTTTCCACTAGCAAGCGATTCCTCCAAGTTCTTTGGCAGAGATGATGGTGTAAAATACATACCGGGTGTTTTTGCGAAGACTTTCAAAAATCCTAAAAATTAGGGCGTCTAAAAAAAAAAGAAAAAAGAAGCTGTCTTCGCGAACACACTACCAGCCACGACGGACGTTAGAAATTGCCAAAAACCTACTAATTAGCCAGTTAATTAAAAACTGTGAATTAACTCTTTAATTAGCAGAAAGAGACATATGGTTCCAATTAGAAAGTTGATGAGCGTTATCAAAAACCACTAAATCAGTCATTTTCAGAAAGACTTTGAGCGCGTGAGAAGAGTGGTAGCGCACTAAAGTTACTACTCGTGGAGCAGGTACAAGGCTGGGGCTTCAGCAATAAACAAGACTCAAACTACTATCAATCTATCTGCGTAAAAATGAGTTCAACTGTACGTAAGGTAGCAGTAGCAGAAGACTACCAAACCTCAACCCGTCTTTCGATTTAATACGTGTTCCATTTCACTTTTTGGGGAAGTGCTCGTGTGACCGGGAGGAGGGCGGGGGGGGGGGGGGGGGGGGGGGAGGGGGAGCCGCGAGCCGCACTTTACCACGCGAAGAGCCGCATGCGGCTCGCGAGCCGCAGCTTGGCCACCCCTGGTCTATGCTAAGATACCTTTCTGTAGAAGTTTACCCAAACTAATTTTTACTATTACAGACATTTATTTAGGTATAGCTGTTATGAAGACAAATCGAAATACCCTGGTTCTTAATTCTCGCAGACCTCGGCCAAAATGGCGGCCGGAGTAAGCGAGTTCCTCTTCACTTTCTCTCTGAACCTGTACAAGCAGCTACACGCCGATCACGGAGCCAGAGGAAACATCCTCTGCTCGCCGTTCGGAGTGGCGGCCGTGTTATCCATGACCCTGGCCGGGGCCCGGAACAACACGGAAAAGCAGATCCTCAACGTGCTTCAGGCAAACAACGGAAGCGACAGGACAGTCCACGAACAGTTCGAAGCTATCCTCGATCGCCTGGAGACCCTAGCTCCGGATGTGTCCCTCTTCATCGCCAACCGCATCTACGCCTCGCACGAGTTCGCGCCGCTGCCAGGGTACGCGAGTCTTCTGCAGAAGCACTACCACAGCTCCCTGGAGACCGTCGACTTCCAGAAGAATCCGGATGGCGTTCGGCGCAAGATGAACTCTTGGGTCGAGGTGAAGACCGGGTCCAGAATAAAGGACTTCTTCCCGCCTGGTACACCGAGCCCTGGGACACGCTTGGTGGCCCTTAATGCTGTCTTCTTCAAGGGCCTGTGGGAGTCGCAGTTCAGCGCCGAGTTCACGTCCAGGGAAGAGTTCCACGGGACCGACGGGACCGCTAAGATGGTGGACATGATGAGTCAGCGAGGGAAGTTCAGGATGGCCCACAGCAGGGAGCTCGGAGCAACCGCCCTCGAGATTCTTTACAAAGGTGCGAGGGTGTTCATGGTCGTTCTGTTGCCGGACGCGAGGGACGGTCTTCCGGCGTTCGAGAGAAAGGTGACGCCGTCGAAGCTGTCCACTTTGCTCGATGGCATGACGGAAGTCACCAAGGTATGCTAATTTTGACGGATTGATTGAAGATCGAGGTTCCACTAATCATAGTAATTGACCCTTCGCGCATTCGAAAGAAGAGGCTAGCTGAGAAGAAAAACTCAAACAATAGAAAGAAGGAAAAAAATTAAAAAGAAACATTTCTTTCAAATTAATTATCTTAGGCTCTCTAGAAGGATTAGCGTGCCTTCATGCGTGCGTATATTCCTGAAAGCAATACTTCATTGTAGCTTCACATTCGGACAACGATCGGTTCTTACGCGAAAGCAGCATCGCAGATGACAGTGAGCCGAGCAAAACAGGAAGCGGGTGGCTTCTTATTCCCAATACATCTCGCTCCGCGAAAATCTAAATGACCTCGGCAAGGGTACGTTTTGAGTAGTTGCAATGACTGGATGCGCTGCAGCTTCAGGGTTTTATTCATTTTCAAAATACTGCCAATCCCTATTGGGGGATTATAGCAAGTATGGTATAAATAAAAACAACACGCAAAATTTTTGAGGCGCGCGAAAAACAACAATTTTTAGAAATCGTCACTTTCTTTCATATTGAAACAAAACGGAACATGACAGTGTATGCTGGAGACCCACGACGATAGTGGCTGCCGCCATCTATCGTCGTGGGCATTAGAGGGATACTACAACGAAATTTCGGCGCTCATTTTTTTGCCTATATGTGTTCAAAAAAGCAGCATCACATCGAACATACCAATATCTTGTTAAAAAAGTCACGAAAAGGAATTTTAAAACGAATTAAACGATTAGCAAAGAGCACCTGGTGGATGTCGCTAACGCCTCGCTTGTAATGCCCGTCTAGGAGCCTTGACAGCTAGTGACGGAGGTTGTCTCGTCTCCGGCCACGACGAGAGAAGAGGGGCAAGAGGAACTCCCCTCGTCCCTAGAATGCCTTTTGTGTGTCGCAGAAGTCGCTATTGTCCCCCTACAAGATTACAGAAGATTAACCCGTCACTCAAAATCCGTACAAAAGCAGCCGCTTCGGTGGCTGGAACGACTAGGCCATCCTCTCAACGTCAGCCTCGCCGTAGCTTTGCTCGTCTTGAGACGAACTACGTCACGATTGCGTTGGATGTCACGTGGTCTCCGCTGGGCCTTCTCCGAGCGCTTGCCAGAGTGGGCCGTTTATAACGAAAAATACAGCAACCAGGCTCAAAATACAAACGTGCGATTGTCATTTACGGATATTGTCGATCATATTCAACCTATTTTTGAACACGACGGGAATATTTCAAATTTCGCTGAAGTATCCCTTTAAAGATCTTAAGTATGGTCCCGCGTTAGTACTGCAGACTTAAACTAATTGAAGATAAATTAACATAATAAAAAATATCATTTTGCCCCTAGAATAGTTAATTTATATATAAAAAAATAATCCTGGTCAAACCCAGCCAAGGTGGTGGGCCAAAAAATCAGCGGTTGTCATTTAAACTATACTTCTGGTCCTTCGAATTATTTTTCTATTACGGTTTCTTGATCTTGATTGTTGCTTCTTCCTTCTTTTGTTTTTGGTGGCGTAGAAGCAGTTCCAGGGAACATTAAAAAAATGGAGAAACTATAGTTACCCTTTTTTTTATTGATCGCGGTACTTTTATTCTTTAGGTAATTCTTATATTTTTTTTTCTTTTTTGTTTGCTATTCCTACCATTATTACCTCCCCTCCCCTCCCTTCCTCTCCCTCCCTCCTCTCTTCCTTCCTTCCTCCTCCTCCTCCTCCATAAGTGTATGATGAAATGGATCCCAGACAGCCGTGTCTGCTGTCTCGGCGAATCCAGTATCTCGGTGCGGCGGCGGCAGCCCTTTTTCTCGGCACTATGCAACTGAGGAGACAGTGCGACGCGCATGCGATTTTCGGACGCGAGATGCGCACGCCGTTAGGGGAGGATTTGGCGCCCTAGGCGCGCTGTCTGATGCGCATGCGCAAAGTGGAACGTTCTCTTTCAAGTGTTTGTCAGTGGGGTGAAGCTCTCGGCTACTTCCGTCCCGCCGCGTATACTTATGACGTTTGTCCGGTCCGGCGAACTGCTTCCGATTGCCGCGCTCCCAGCGGCTGTTGGCACTTGTTATTTCATTTTAATTAAATATGATTCATATATTTTATGAAGCGAAATAAAGTTGAAGTTGTTTTGAAGGTGTGAATGGGTTTAAAGCTTGTTATCGTAACTTTCTCTTTCACTCTTTCAACGTGTTTTGGGCGCGCTTTTTCTCGCTCCGAACCCGCGCCTCGCGCCTCGAGATGCGCTGGCCGCTGGCGCCGGGAAGTCGGTGGACCGTTAGAACGCGCGAGGGACGCGAGCCGGTGAGCTGTTTCGCTTCTGGGAGTGCGTCGCGGCGCGAGATTCGTCCCGCGTTCGTGCGCGCGCGGCTGTCTTTTCTTTTTCGTGGGAACTTGTTGTTGGTGTAATGTGGTCAAGCATGGATTTTCGTCATCAACACACCACCTGATGTGCCAAGTGGGGAAACAATGACTGCCGAAAGCCGGAATATCAATGGTTTCGAGTTCGAATGGACGTGCGGTACGCTCTTTTGGTCTTCTCTTGCTTAAGTTTCTGATTAGATGTTTGCAACAAAACCTAACTGTCGCAGTGGTAGTGAGTATTGTTTGATTTTGGCAATAGCTACGATGGTTTCCAATCACAAAAGCAAATCCTATCATTGTTCAGGATTGCTCTTCACTCGCCGCGAGAAATATGTCATTGTCAAATTACTGGAGACTTCTGTGTAGACTTTTACATATAAAGATCGAGCACATATGCTCACTTTAAAAGATGGCAAACTTTTTGCTGTGAGCTGTTTATTTGGCACTGTTGTCAGCGATTCACGCGTCTGTTCGCGAGGAGTGAAAATATGAGCCTAAATATTTTTCGATTAACTGAGGATGAGCGATAGAGCGATCCGCTCTGGTTTTCCGTTTCGTTTAGCAGTGACTCACTCCTAAATTTAAGTGATAATATTAAAAACGAATGGGCAGGTTCTCGATGAAGACTCAATACCAAAGAGCTGAGCTGTTTTTCTTGGTACTCATTGCTTAGTTTCCTTTAGCTGCAATTAAGACACCGTCGTCGGTCTTTACTTATATGCTTACTTATATAATCAAATTTGCAAGGACACATATCATCACCTTCGTCGCACGTAACCTTAAAGTTTTATCTTGTTTTGTTGTTCATTTCTTTGTTTCTCGTGTGCAAAACAGTGAGAAATTTCGTCTGTATTTTCTACTGTCTGTTGAATAAAAATGAACGCAAAAGGACAAGCATTGCATATTTTTTGTGTATGTGTCACTTTCGTTGCTTTGCTAGGTTTCTGCTGCTTTGCTGCTGGTCTCGCTTTTCAGTGCTGGCTTGTGTGCGTTTCAACGAACATTAACCAGCATTGAAATGCGAAAACCAGCCGCAAAGCAGCAGAAGCCTAGCAAAACAACGCGCATCCCGGGCAAAAAAAAAAAAAAAAAAAGCTACAATATATATATTTTTAACTCTAGGTGGCGCAAGCTACCGCCCATCCATCCAAACACAATGGCGCTGCCGTGCAGTTTCGGTTTTGGTTTCGCTGTGCCGCCATGTTGAATTTAGTACAGCCACCAGATACCAGGGGATTCAAATGGCGCTGCGGCCTCCCAGGGTTTTCCAATTTGCGTTCCATGGGCGGTATAGGAAGTTGCACTCCTCTGTGTTTGTCTCCACTGCGATGCAACCGATCGCTGCCGTTCCTCAGGTGCGGCTCAGGCTCCCCAAATTTAAGCTGAGCCAAACGGTGGACCTCAGGTCCGCGCTCACGTCGATGGGGGCCGCCGATCTGTTCACGGAAGACGCCGACCTGTCCGGAGTGAGCGCCTCTGAAGGCCTCACGCTGTCCAGTGCCGTCCACAAGGCCGTCCTGGAGGTCAACGAAGAAGGCACCGAAGCCGCGGCAGCTTCGGGGGTCGTGATGACTCGGCGTGCCATCGAAGGCATCGACTTCACCGTAGACCATCCATTCTTCTTTGTGCTGCGGACTCGAGACCCGGACGTGGTCCTCTTCGCGGGCAGCGTTCGCGAGTTGTGACCATCGCTTCAGAGCCAGATGGGCATGCGCGACGTGACGCACGTTCGTCGCCTGCACGGCAAACGTGGCGGTCGGGTATGACGTTTTTAGCCGCCCGAAAAAGACCGGAAGCGACATAAAACGTCATATCCGGCCGGCATGTTTACCATGTACGCGAGGTGGATCTCGTCTTGCATGCGCATCTGCTTGGACAGCCTCAGTGCCCGCAGCGAAAGGACTACAGGACAAGCCCCTTTCGCAATGCCCTCCACTCTTTTTTTCGCATTAGCAGAGCGATCGCTGGAGAGGAGATAATTTCCTTCTCTCGAACGTAAGTGGAGGTGTTGATCTCCTCTACTCCGTAACTATCTAGAACGTGTTGGTGGTGCAAGGGAGTTTCTTTATGGCTGCATGCTGGCCTTTACACGTACCAGACATTGCAACGAGAATAGTGTAAGAACATTCAATTTTCTTTTCTTTTTTTTCTTAAAAAAAGGTCCATTGCGGTAGCCATTTTTGAAACGTGCTGATTGATGAGACACAACATGAACGTCTGCGAATTATTTAAGGTGTGGAATCGAATATTCCCAAAACAATGTTACAATAGAACCATTTTTATTACAAAATTTACTGTCTTGTTTAAGCCCTGAATATTGCAATAAAACTTAAAAGAAAAACAATCTTTGATCAATGCATACAATCAGATCTATATGCAGATAAAAAAAAGTATCAGCATGTGGGTGATAAATATGCATGCTTTTCAACTGTAGCGAAACTCGAAAAATGTTCACCTAAAAAAACAAAAAAAATGAAAGCCGTTTTTAACTCTCTGTAACGCCGAATTACAGCGCAACTCTTGAGGAGGAGGATGGAAGGGTACTGAGGGGAGGGTACACCCCTACTCACCTCGTCATCCTGCCTCCTAGTCCGCCAAGGGGGCCACGTGCCACGTGGCCCCCGTGAGGTCACGTGACCCCCCCCCCCCCCCCGAGGTCACGTGGCCCCCTGAGGTTACGTGACCTCACGGACGGTTACGCCGACGGCAACGGCGACGCCACTCAAGCCGGAATCGGGCGCCTAGGAGCTGCGCTCTAAAACTAAACGCATAGTGCTACCCACCTACACCCAGTCAATGTTGTTTAGAAACCACAAATCTAGAATTGAAAAAGAAAAAAAAAATAAAGCATGCGATTACTGGTAATATCAAGCTTATGTCAGGTTCCTTTAATGGGTCTAAGTCGAGCCCGGTTATAAAACACTCGGGTATTTCGAATTATTGTTTATATCAAAAAGTCTAAACATCCCCTTGAAAATCACAAGCGGCTGGCAGACCGCCAAGCCAGCATACACAAGGTACGCAGCGAAACAGCAGTTGTAAGAGAAAAAAAACAACAATAAACCACAAAAAGAAAAAAAAAGTGGGGGATGGCAAAAACAAGGGGAAGGGCATGCGGACGTGCGTAGGGAGAGCAGGGGGTGCCCGCTGTTGGAACGATAGTCTGCACCCTTTCCCCGAACATTGCTGATGCTGCGCGACTCCCTAGCCCCAAAATAAAATAAGCAAACAAAAAGTCTTCGGCAAGTCAGTGTGTCGACAACAACGGTGTGCAATCACACTTTGAACATTTTATCTTTGTTTACCTTTTCCTTTTGCCGTTACTGCTTTGCCCGTTTGTCGCGACCTTCGGTATTAGCAGAGGCGCCAAGAAATCTCAACTAGAGCTTAATTTAACATTTTCGTATATCAAATCATTGATATATCAAACTATTTTACGATTTTCTTTGAATTCAATATATCCGGGTTTAACATCACATAAGCAAATGACGTTTTAGCAAACAGCGATCATTTGAGCGAACCAACTTTTTAGCGAATTACTGAGGCACGCGTTCCTGCTGTAAACAAACCGCATGAACCCAATGTTGGATTCGTGCCGTTCGTTTATTTTGGGGTAACGAAAAAGGGGGAGCCAGGAGAGGTGCTGAGTCATGCAGAGTACAATGGACAGTACTAGGTTTAGGCTATGTGGCACAAGCTATACCGCCCAACACAAGGGATATAACCAATACCATCCAGGGTTCCTTCCCAGGTATAGGGTCTATTTAATGACATAATTTCGTCCATTTATTTGTTGTTATGAGATGCCTCGTGGAAACCAAAGGCAAACATTCCAAGGATTCACACGACATCCTGAAATGTGTAGTGCACAGAGGCTTGTAAGTCTCTTCAAGCTGACATCAGACAACAAAATAGTAGATAAATGTCGTCAAAATATCCCCGTCGCGAGTTGTTTTCCTCGCGCTGTTAAGAGAGGAAAAAAAAAAGAGTCCACAACGTGTCATCATCTTGTAGCTTTAACAAACTTCTTTTAATTAACACTTATGTTACAGACTATTCTGTTCCCCGTCGGAAATCAAGAACACATACGCAGTCAAAGGCAGTTTACAAACATGTTCTCATAATTACATATACTTCCTTTTCCGCTAAGGCCTGGAAACTATGGTTTAGGTATATATATATTTATATATATATCTTTTTGTATGTATACTTATTTATATATGTGACTATAAGGTCGCCAGACTCTGAGAAAACAAGGTGAAGGATGCCACCTAATTTGTAAAGACACGCTGACTCATTGTGCAGGCCTAGAACGGATCTCCCTCCGCAACAGTAACGACAGCTCAAGTGTCAACACCCTCTAAACGTAACAGCTTGCTCTCTTCTCAACGTGCTTCAGGCCGCTCGCTATCTTCAAAGCATGGCACCAGAGGATTGACATAAGGGTCACGTTCGTATTGCATTTTTTCTCGGTCAACAGTAGACCAGGACTAGACGTGGCCCGGCCCTCAAACACAGCGCAAAAAACATGGCATAAAAATGTGCTGTTCTCAAAGCACCGGCGGTGACACAGCCTAAAGAAGAATCAACTTTCCCAAAAAAAGGCATCAACGTAAAAAAAACAAAAAAACAGTCAATTTGCAAGTAGCAGTGACTAGATCAAAGAAAGACACTCGGATTATTTTGGTGGAAAAACAAACACCTTTCTCCGATTCTACGTAAAACGTGAAATCTGACCTTCCCCATGAACTGAAAAATGCAATGACAATGCAGTATGCACTTTAAAAAAAAGTACAGACAAGTCAAGAACAGAAACGCATTCTTGTCAGCACGTTGCACAAACGCAACAAGAGTCACTAAAGATAGACAATGCACTCTTAACAAACAGCTCGACCTGGAAACCATGGTCGAAAACCGGCAAAAATTAGCCCGCACACATCCTATAAAATGGAATGTTGCAACAGACAAAAACGGGGGTGCCACACCTTGTTTCTGCGACCGATATCGAGCGTCGTCCACCAGAACAAGAACAGGCACCTATTTCTCAACAACACTGTGGTCACGGCACTTCGTCAAACTTTGCTGCCGACACTTCGATTAAAAACTACACTGCCGGCACACCCAAAACAGTTCCTGGCTAAAGCTCTCTCCGATAATAAACAGTGCTGTTCCCTCGTCAGCCAGTTTGTAACTCGCTGCTTCTAAAACGAGGAGTCGAATCCCCACCGGGCGAACATGCAAGAAACGCTACTCGCAAACATAACGAAAACGATTTGTTGGTAGATACGGCTGTATGTTGACAGCTGGCGGCAGGGAAGGAGTGCAAAGGCTGCCAACGTAGAGTCTTCACCATTATCTGTGAGTAATGTTTGCTTAATGTTTGTTCAGTGGGAACACCCAACATTTACTTTCAGCACTGCATATCCAACATGCATGGCCCAACCAACTATAACAGTTTCCAAGCAATGTTAAACAAAAAACAAAACAAGGAAAAGCCCCAACCCTAGACAGAAGTCGATTCGACAAGAAATGTTATTTGTTTTTAAGTACAGGACTCTGAAACACCACAAGATCCTGCTCAGTGATTGGACAGTTCGTCAACTACTTGTCCGGTAACCGATCAAAGTTTCACTGCACCACTGTTAGAGGTGCCCGAAAAGAACACGGCACTCAATACCCGGCATATCAGGTGCAACTGCCGGCACCAAAGGCCGACAAAAATGGCAGTACACTTGTTGCGTCAAACAATGTTTTGCCGACAATCTCAGATTGTTTACTTAATAACATTCTGAGCTTCTGCTTGACAAAAACATTACCAATAGCCAATTTTGCATGCAAGGCCATAACATCTGCCAGAGGCCAAAAATTAAAAACAAAGATACAATGAAATTTGTAAAAATAACTGATGTACCTTTGGTTACCTCAAGCTATTTATGCTTTTGCAGTGATGGAAGTGGCATTTGTCCTTTTGTAGCCAGTTTTGTAGCAGGCAAAATATTGGTATGGGGCAGCCACTGACGGTTTTGGATCGGTTAGCACGTCGCTTGAAAATTAAATGATGATTGTACTGCTAAATGGGAGTCAATCTTTGGTAACTAGTGAGTGTTCTTTTTTGATATTGAATCATACTACCTATTACATTTTATAATAAAAATCGATAGAATGCAGAAAGAACACACAGCCTTCGTTTGAGAAATAAGGTACAGGTCATCAGAGTAGCTCTATTTACAATAAATATTTAGAAAAAAATGGTTTAAAAATTATTTATAGAGCAACACTCCAGTTGAGACAAAGCCTGTCTCGCTTTCCTTTTTTTCCACTCAGTAGTTTATTTAGCCTGTAAATATGATTTCTGTAAAACGCTGGCAAAAACCGGCATATCCGCTGAAACGCCTATCAATAAAAATATGTTCCCCAACTTTTATGAACAGAACGGATAAGAGACAGATGATCAAGCGACCACATCAGGAGTAGAGGACCCTGGTTCCGTCTTATCACATTAGCCACCATCCCGCCATTTTGCTAATTTTTCTCGCAACTCTTAGCTGCTGACATTGCCAACGTCTAGAAATTCAGACGATGACGGAGCCAACGCTGTTGACGAGCAATGTTTATATACTTCCTTTCATGTTAAACCAAAGCGTAGCCGACGCTATGAGGCAGTGGGGCACATGTAATTTGTGATCTTTCCGTATGTGTTATTTCATCGGCTAAACTATACTTCGTTTCAGCTTCGGTCCAGACGCAGACAAAGCTACAAGCGCGAGGCTGGGCTTTCAGCATCCCTGCCAAGCACGCGCGCTCGTGCAGTGCAAGCACTGTTCTGGGCCACATTCTCGCGCTTGCAGCATCGACTGCGCCTGGACCGAAGCTGAAACGAAGTATAATCAAGTGCAGCGAATGCCCTGTGACTTGAGCTTTTAGTATGTATGTTCGTAATTGCATGTGTTCGAGCCTTCGCCTCTGCTCAAACCTAAGATGATACAAACTATACGGTGAGCACAGACGCTGGGAATGAATTTTTGTGCCATTCTCCTTCCTTCCTACTTCTCTAAATATTGCGATCGACCAGTAATAAAATATCTTTATTTATTTCTTTGTTTAAAGGGACACCGCCACCCCTCAAAATTTTTGTTTTACTTTTTGCCAGGCAGATGGTGTCGGAAGACTATCCAATCAATATTTTGCTACAGCGTCACATATATTTTTAATAAAGTCAAAAAATGCAACTGCTCAAAACCAAAACTGGACTGGCGCGGAAGAACTACAGAGGAGGAGAAAGTTGGCAGAAGTCACGTGGCTGTGCAACTTTTTTTTCTTCAATCAACATATCTGCAGCTTTTTGGAGGCCACGAAAAATGGGTATCATATTTCTTTTCTATTTTTAATATTGAGTGCGTGCCTTCGATGACCCACGACTTTGATTATCTTTGGTGGTTGTGTCTAAACCATGAAAAACGGCATGTGACCACGGAGAAGACAGTGAGCGCAACTTGAACTGGCCAGTTCTCAATCGTCAGTTTTTGGGCAGAAAGAAAATAAATTTTGGGCTGCAAATTTTGTTCTGTGTAGTTAGGCTCTCATATCTGATGTACAGTCTAAGCTCATTACAAAACACCTGGTTACAACAGACATTTGGATATAACATACCGATTTGTGAGGTTCGGTTGGTTTTCCTCTGCATTCCCATTGACTTCTTCATATCTGCATACAACATACTCCTTTTAAGACAGACCGAAATCTTGGTCAAAATCAAGGTCTGTTATAACGAGCTTAGACTGTACAAGTGAAAACGTTGGTGAGCATCAATATACCCAGCTGAAAATTCCCATTAGATTGAATTGGAATTCTAACTGGTTTTAATTGGAACCAATTGGTTTTAGTGGGTTCCAATTGGAAGCACACTGGCCAATGGGTCTCACCAATTGGAAAAAATTTTCCAGTTGGAATCTTAATGGGAATTTTCAACTGGGTACCCTTTAGTGTGCCTTTAAGCCCATGTCGGCACAGGTGTGGCACAATTTAGCACAAAGGGCACAGCAATTCCATCACTGCTCTTGCAACAACTGCAAGTTTACAATAAAGTATGCCTAAAAAGAACCACCTCTGTACTTAAAACATGTTAGGCTAGTAGCTTGTATAGAAAAAAATTATGTTCAGGTTTCTGGCCTCCTACAAGGTTAGGTTGTTCTCAAACAACTGTTTGCAGCAGTTATTTTTTTTTATAAGCACAACTGTTACAAATGGGCCAGATTGTATAGTATTTATGAGCGTAGACATTATTAGACTAACAGGGACCAACATAAAACAAAATGTTTATTCTACAAGCAACTGTCGGCAAAAAATTGTTAGACGCCACAGATTTCCGTGGAAATGGCAATCGCCATCGGTGGTGTGCCAAGACGCCTTGGCACTCAAGACCCGAGACCATAAGAATGGCGCGTAATAGGTATACTAGAGCTATGAGGGGAGCTTCCAGAAGTTATCAACCCGAACATGAAAGAAAAACAGATCAAATAAAGTAGAAAAAAAAAAAAGAAAAAAAAAAGAAATCTTAGATTTTGACGTTTTCACCTCTAAATTTGTAAAAGGCCAATCCCGAGCAAATAAAGCTAAGCTCGCAATTCATCATACGCCAAAATCCTACTTCTTCGTCACTGAAAAAGGTTTTGCCCAATTTGTTTCTTCCTAAGGCAGGTGCAGCGCAGTGCTGAGGTAACGAAAAGTCAGCGTTGCATTGGTGCTACTGTCAGCACTGACTCAGCAGTGAGTGAGCACTGCTTTGTGTGTGTGTACTCTGGAAAGAACCAGGGCCCCCCGATTCAGACACTCTGTGAGAAAGTCGGAGAGATCTCCTAATGCCGCAATTGGCCAGTGCCGAGGTCGAGCGCGGCACTGGCCAATCGCGGCGGTCGAGATCACGCCAACTTTCTCGCCGAGTGTCCAACCTAGAGCCTTGGGTCGCACGCAGCAAAGCGCTGATATAATGCGAAATCAGTGCTGTGTCTGTAATGCTGAGTTACCGCTGCGACGTACGTGTGAACGAGCCATGTCGCAAAAACAAAGATTTGCCGTTTTGAAACAAAGTGCGAGCCGTCCTTCATGCTCGGGCAGACAACTTACCAAGCCACCCCCGTGTCTTGATTTACGTCGGTTCAACGCAAAGTCCCTTTCGGACGCTCCCCTGCTTGCGAAAAACAATGCTGCTACTGCCCCCTCCCCCCCCCTTGCATCCATCCAGAACCAAAAAAAGAGCAGACCAATAAACAACGCGTTTCGAACGACATGCGACAAAACAAGGGACCTGGGCTATTTCTGTACGAAGCAACTTCTTCCACTGTCCGTCCTCTCCACTACTGATATGCACGCGTAGGTCTATGTACAGGTTCAACATCGGGTCAGTCTCATATGTGAGAGCCTCTGCGGCATTGTTTTTTTTTTTTTTTTTTCTTCCGACGTTCTGTTGTTATTGGTTTTCGTTCGAGCTAAAATTAAAGCACTGGAGAGACACGCCGGAAGTTCCCGTCACGTGATCCTAAGGTGCTAATAAAAAAAAGCGTGGTCGTCTCCTTCGAAGAAACTGAGCGTGCGCCGCGCGGCACGCGGAAGGAAAAAAAGGAAAATGTGTCTGAGTTTTTTTTCTTTTTTTTCCTTTACAGTGCAAAGAAGGTTGCGAAACGAGGAACTTTGATTAACAACGGACGTGACAAGATTTTCCTGTCGGGAAGAAGGGAAGACATTTCGGCTAACACAAAAAACGAAATATACCAGAGCGATAGGGTTAATTAATTGCCCACAAAATGGATTGTCCAGAAAAAAATAAGAAGAGTAACCATTGTATTACTTGCATTAAATCTGTCCCCACATCACAGTTTAAAAAAACAAAGCCCGTTTGCGTCCGTTGTCGTGGACACAACTCTTGTTCCGTCCCCGTTTTAGACTTGGCATTTCGCCATGACGTGATTATTGCATCTGTAAGTTTTCCCATGTCAACCACAAAAAAAGAAATCTTTAGACCCCATGACTGCTCGCGGGAAGGCTTTAGTGACAAATTGCATAAAGAGAAAATTCGGTACGCCCGTATCTAGGCATCTATTTCCCGGTGTACCCTTCCTTTTTTTTGGGGGGCCTAAGTGAATGTATGTGAGTATGTAGGTGTTTTCAGCCTATTTGCATATGTCCTAAAAAGTGAGAATGTGTACCTAATCCTGCATTTTTTTTTTTCTCTCTTTTTTTTTTTCTAGAGTTCTTTTTCTTTTTTGACCCATCCCACAACGAGCCAAGTCTGTCATGAGAATGAGGACGCATTTCTATTTGCTGTTTATGTATAACTGAACGTGGAAATGTGAGACTAGTGAGAAAACTAAAGACAAGCGCAATAGAGAGCAAATGGCACTGCTCATACAAACTCAGGGTGAAAAAAAGATAAACACTTTTACTAGAAACGGGGAATAGAGTAACCCAACGAGCAAGACTCCAGCTCCTACTTGTGAGATTTTCCTGGGTGGTACCGCAGGCCCTTATGGCTTAACTGTGTAACCAAACGCAGATGATGCGGTGAAGCCAATTTCAGATGCGAGACACGGTTTTGCGACCGGTTTCAGACATAAGACACCCAAGTTTTGCAACTGATTCCATAGATAAGACAAGTAGGTTGTGTAGCCAATTTCAGAAATAAGACAGATAGGTTTCACGACCTATTTCAGATGCAAGACAAGTAGGTTTTGTGAACAATTTCGGACATGAGACAGGTTTTGCGACCAATTTCAGACAAGAGACATAGTGGTAGGTTTAGCAACTTCGTTTTGGTTATCAAGTATCGTAGTCGGCAGATGCAATACAAATTACTGCAGGAAAAACAGTAGGCTCAAGTTAGTTGCAAGGTTTTTTTTAAACTATACCATTCTCTTTATGAGGTAAAGAAAAAATAATTATGTTACGGGACCTACAGTAGAGCAAGCATCACAGTTGCAACTAAAACCCCGGGAAGTCAGCAACCCTGCTTCAGGTAAGAGAGTGGACAGGGAGGCCAAAATTGTGTCGTCAATCCGGCATGATGAAATGACCAGACGTCTTTATATTAGCAGTTACAGGGCGTGGTGAGAAAACTTAAGACTACAGGTCATGTAATTCGGCAAAATAACGCTTTCTTCTGCAGAATAGGAATATGATGCCAGTCTCATTTCATGACTTCTATCTCTGAGGGCAGTGAACCTTTCACAACAAATAAAAATAGTGAAAAAGAATGGAAGAAGAAACGCTGAATGAATGCTGAATGGCAGTTGCCCCCCCAAATCCCAAAGAGTTTCTCTCTTTGAGTTACTCGACTATACCGCGGTGCAGCCATCTTTGTTTTCCGAAGCGACGGCGGCATTAGCAATCCAAAGATTGTCGTATCATCGTTGCAACTGCTCGGCAGTCTTGAACAAACAACGTTGCTCATTTCAAGCAAACTGCAACCCGACATGTTTGTTTTTGCGATTCCAGCACAAACTACCAGAGTTCAGAGCCCATTCGAGCCAAATCAAAATGTAAAAACACAAAAGAATTCATCCGGGTGACTAGCGCCGGTGCGGCGGTGGCGGGCGGCGGGAGACGCCGCCGCTTGACAGAACCCTCTCATGGAAACGGAACGACGCGGTTTTCTTCGATGAACGGAAAACTAAGAGGTGCATGTAGTACCGTCTATGTACAGGGCGGGTGGATGTGAAGAACACAAAGGTCGTACCTCGTACAAAACGGTGAGAGCAGACGACGAGACCGAAAGCGACGAACCGAGCTTCACACTCAAACATGGCAGCCTACAAAACTGTCTCCGGGAAAACTAATAAAATAGAAAAGGAATCCCCACTTGGTTTTCTCTGCGGAGAGCAACTTGTTCGTCGTCTGTCACCGTCCAGGCAGTTGTTTCGGGTTCGTCGGCGTCGCGCGGGGGTCAGGGAAGGCGACGGCACGAGGCGCCCGTCTGACGGTCGGTCGGTCCGACAGTGACTGCTCGGTAACCCTGCGCTTCTTTGGTTTCCGCGTTGCGGCAAGTGTCACTCACTTGGGCGTCACTCGCGCATTCCTCGGCTGGTAGGTCGGTCAGTGGTTTCTTAAGTGTTTTTTTTTTCCTTTTTGCGGGAGGGCAGCAGAACGGCGCGGAGAAAGCAGACGAGGAGGCGTTGGCTCGTTTTTCTTCTCACGATCCTATGCTAAGACTGGGCAGCTTGGGGATGAACAGTCGACTTTGCTGTGGGCCAAGAAGAGAAAGCAGCGCGTTAGGTTTCCAGAGAATGCACCAGGCATTAGACGTTCCCCCTCCCCCCCCTTTGAAAAGCTATGCGGAGAGCAAGTCGTCTGCTTCTTCCGCAGGAGTTGCAGTGACGTCAGAACGACGCCGAGCTTTGATAGGCTTTGATTGAAAGGATAGGGGGTACAGACCTCAATGCTCGATGCCTTGAGGTCTACTACCCACTATATTTTTCAATCAGACAATAGGAGCTCGGCATTCTGACATCTTGCAACCCCTGTACAAGAAGCAGACAAACTTCTACTCCACATACCGACGTCTACAGGGTGACCCGAAAAGCAAAATTTGTGAGTTGTTTTCATTGCAAAAATAAATTATGCATCGCCAAAGAATTTTGAGCCTTCTTAAGAAAAAAAATGTTGCGCCCGAGTGCCCTAGCGTAGCCGTAGTGGTCGGAACCAGATGAAAAGATTTCAGAACTAACAATTATCTTATTAAAAAGTTATAAGTGAATTTCTGAAATTTTTGATGGAAAAATGGCAGCCGACGGAGCCCTTGAGCACATGGAGCTGAATGACGCCAGTTACCAAAGACAGGCAAAAAAAGGCCCCATTTTCTCATTGAAATTTTCAGAAAATCACTTATAACTTTTGAACGAGATAACAGTTAGTTCTGAAATTTTGCCGTCTGATTCGGATCCCTAGCGCTACATTTTGGCGGAGAATCAGCAATCGTCGAATCAGTTTATTTTTGCATAAAAAAGACCCGTGAATATTTATTTTTTTTTTTTTTAGGGGGGGGATACTTTGTATGTCCAGGTAGCACATTTCTTCGGACAAAAATTTGGTTTTTGACTGGAAAATTGGGGCATTGAAAGTCCAAAGAAGCCAAGGTACGACCGAATATTACATTCTTTTTGAATACCTGGGCCATTAACTGCAAGACAAGTACCACAGTCAAGCTTTGCTGCTTAGTTGTTCACCTGTGCGCCTGGCTTCTTTGGACCTCAGTGCCTGAGCAAATGCCTAAAATGGAAAATCCGTTTTTAGGTAGCAAATGTTTCGTGCTAGGGTGCCTGAATGTTTCTTTTCTCAGAGTGGTGCCATTCTTTACGCTACCCGACGCCAATGACAAACAATCGCAGGAAGTAGAAAAAGGTGCGGAGTGCCACAGACTGGCTTGACGTCACCACCCTAAGACGGAAGCAAACACATTAAGACACCCTATTTCATGCAAGTTTGTCTAAGTAGAACCCTTAATGGCGTCGCTTACATCCGTCACTTTCACGCTGCGTTCGTGCCTCTCTACCAACCCACCGCGTACAACTTTTTGGCTCGTGATTTCAGCTAACATAGTAATCTTTGCCGGCACATCTGGAAATGTTGCCGCTCAAACGTACTGGGCAGACAAAAGATAACGAAACATCCAGACGTTCCAGTAATGCAGAGACTTTTGATCCTGTGCATGCACACCTTTTAGGCAAACAAATGACAAACATTCAAACAAATGTATCAGAAAGTTTAGCTTGACGGGTCATGCCATAAAAACATTTCATTCCGGTACGACGTCTTACAAGGGTATGAGATGCTTCCAGAGAATGTGCCCAGGACCATTCTATCACAACAAAATTATATTTATAAAAAATATAGATACGGCAAAATTAGGGCATACTTTTAGTTGAATAAATTTGTTAGTAAAAATAAGCATATTAAGACAGAACTAGGAACATGCATACAACGAAGCAAAAGACGAGCACTGACAAAAGTAGGCCTGAGTTTCAAAGCAGGAGAAAGAGCACCTACTACCACAAAAAAAAAAAGAGCAAGAAAATTAATGGCACTCGTTTGATCTACTGCTCAATTGTCCTGTATGCAGAAGACATTGGTGATATATAAGTGCGATGCGATAGCGCATCGTCGCAGTGCCAAGTCGTGATGCCAAGTGACATCCCGTCAGAGGACTCATGATGTGATCACAGTGTCATGTGGCGTCGGTGTCATCACCGCTACTAGTGACATTGACTGTCAAGTCGTGGTGTGACACCACGTCATGTGACCACGTCGCATGATGTCACTTTTTACATCACATCACACCATGACTTGACACCAAATGTTAGTAGATCTAACAATGTGATTTACACCACTACGTCAGATGACACCACAACCACGCCGCAAGTCATGTGGCACTGTGGATTACACGACACCACGCGGCATCATGAGACTGGCGTGAGCCCAGCACATTCTATGTGGTCATGTGACATAACCCGTAGTGGCTGCAGCCACGTGACCATGTCACCCACAGTGGCATCAAGCTAAATTTAGCGTGACATTAGCCTGCTAAATTTACCTGTCGGCACAGTACGGCTATAGCGAATCTCAACCTTGCCTCCGATGTAATGCATTCTGTGTTAAAAACAATAGTTAGAGCTTCTTTGCATTTTGCGCTAGAGTACCTACTCGTAACAGTCCAATCAATCTGGCCACTTCAATCACAATTGTCATTCGACCATATGTAGTATTCTGTTTTTTTCGAGTTTATTTCTCGTGAAATTTGGAGGGTGTTTTTTTAAGTTTATTTTTTGCCAGAAATTCGGGGTTTATCAGTTTATTTTTGTTAGAGTCCCAATTTTCTTAAATTCTGAGGTTACTTATACTGTGTTCCCAAGTTTCTTTTAATTCAGAAACAAAATAAATATGGTCTGGACAAAAGCATATATTCCTAAATTCATCAGAACTCTATTTGAACAATATTTATGTAGCTGTATTTGGCATTTGCACCCTTGTCATCTGCCATATTAACTGTCCCACGACAAACATGTTGCCTCAATAACGATTGATACTTTAAAATAAATAAATTCCTGGACATGGTTACTGGGAAGCATGGAAGCTCCAGCTGCCCTCCACCTCCATTGAAATCTACTGGTTCATAGAAATTTCATTATCATGAAAACACTACACCTTGCTCCTTCAAGAGGCACAAATAGTATGGTCCAAACGGGAAACCTAAACAATGGCTTTTGTCATGACCGAGGGATGCCGTGACCCATTGTCCTGAACGGACATCGACAAAATAAAAGGTTAAACTCTTTTTGTTAGTAGGCCGAGATTGGACAGGAAGACCAAAGGGGCCTCTCCTCAGGGCCACCGGTCCCTGGCTCTCATAAAATTTATTTGTAAAACACTTTTTTTTTTTTTTGCCATCCTGATTTTAAAATGTAGAGTTTTTCGAATTAATTTGAACTGACGAAAATTTTGCCAGCAATTGTTTTTGGGATTTTTTTTCGAAATCACGGAACCTTAGCCATATGGCATCCCTGACATGTTGATGGCAGCCTTTTAGTGGCTGAGTATAAGGAAGAAGCAGCCTGGTCATTCTAGACGTTAGCGCAATGTGACGAGCATTGCGTTAGCGTTCACCTCAAACTCACGTCCAATCAATTAGTTGGTGCACACATTAGGCCCACAAGCCCTCTGATTTAGCTACAGTGGACTCCCATTAAACGAAACTCGCTTAAACGGAAAATTCGGATAAACGGAACTCTAAAGGTTGTTTCGGTTGGTTTCCTATGTATTTAATGATAAATTCTTCGGGTAATCGGAACCCCCCTTTTTGCTTACTTCGGTTAAACGGGACCGAAACCGAAACTACCCATGGCGACCGCGGACATCGGAAATAGCTACAGCAGTCTCACAACCATGGAGTACGCAATAGCCAAGACGGCCAAGACTGAGGACACTTTAAAGGAAAAGGGGTTGTGTTAGAACAAAATTTATACAAATATTATTAAAAAAAAAAAAAAAAAGTTGTTAGGCTAGGTGACGCGAGGTGCCGCTCGTTACAAAGGGTACGGTACAGCCATTCATCCATCCATCCAAGCCATTATATTAAGGCAATCCAATCCAGTCTTTCTACCGCCATTAGGGTTAGCGCCTCGTCTGTTGCGCGTCACGTTTACCATCGAGTACACAAACCAGCGTCCGCTTGCCGTGTTGTGATGGAAGCGGTAAAAAAGCGGCCGCACCAAGCGATCTCGCTTGCTACGAAAATGAAGATCCTTCAAGAGCTGGATCGTGGTGACCTCTCGAAGACGGAGATCGCAAGGAAGTTCGATATCCCGAAGTCTACACTCTCAAGGATATCAAAGGACAAAGAAACGATTCAAGACGCTGTAAAGCGCGGAAGCTTTGCCACCGACCGAAGGAGGATGCGAAAGACGCCTTTTGAGGAAATAGAGAACGTCCTTTTTCTCTGGTTTAAGCGCGCGCGAAGTGCTAATTTCCCGATCAGCGGCCCCATCCTCGAAGAAAAGGCTGGAGAGATTGCGTCTCAGTTGGGAATAGATAACTTCAAAATGAGCGACGGTTGGCTCAGCCGTTTTAAAAAGCGCCACGGCCTAGTCTTTAAGACTATTTCTGGGGAAGGTGCAGCAGTCAACAGAAACCTTTGTACCTCCAAGGCATGCACACCTACTTCGTCAAAAAGCGATTACAAAATGCAAAACAAACTACCATTACCTCCTTTTTCTAGTCAGCTACATTAGCTGGACATCATGCTTGTGAAATAAAGTCATATTTCACTCATTTTATGTGCTTTGCTTTAATGAAACTTCTGATAAACGGAACAAATTTTTCTGTCCCTTCGAGTTCCGTTTAAGAGGAGTCCACTGTATTTTTTTAAGGCCTTTTGTCGAGTGAGTGCTTCTTACATATGGGTAGTCGCTTCCTTCCTCGCAAACAGTAGGGCCTGGGATTTAAAAATCTTGTTGACTGCAACACTGGAGAAGATTACCGGAAAATATTGAGCAAGCGCCCACCCATAATTTGAAGATAATCACGAAAAAATAGGGGATGGGCGCATGTGAGGTCATCAATATGTACTGTGCATATTTTTCAGGTGTTTCAAATCTTGGGTAGTGTCACCCTTTAACTATACAGCCCTACTAGCCAAAGCCAAAACGGTGCCAGTTTCACATAACTTAAGGAGCAATGCAATTAAGGCTG